TGGCCTTGGCACTTGAGAATGGTTTAAACCTTACTTTGTACTTGATCTTGTACTCAATAACTCCATCTTTGATCTTCATTGGGTGGAGAGTGAGAGTGTGTGACATCTTATCAAGAGAGGGAGAGTGAGGTTCTTTCATATTCTTCTTCTTGTCATGAGTAGCCTTTGTGACACTACTCACCTCCTCTGTTTTAGCACTTTTCAAGAGCTCATCATACATCTCTTTAGAGGACTTTCCATCAAGATCTTCTTTCCCACTAACAACCACTGCATCTTTCAACTTCTCAATGAGAAAGTCTTCATAAGTGATGGTTCCACAGTATTCAACATTCATCATGGGAGACTTTATTGGGTCAGAGATAACTTTGTTGACATTGTGGAGAATCATCCTTTTGTTATGGAAATCAATGCAAGCACCCACAGTAGCAAGAAATAGTGTGCCTAAGATCAATGGTACTCTCCTCTTGCTTATCATATCCAAAACAGTGAGGTCTATGGGAATGGTGCAAGATCCAATCTTCAAAGGATAATGCTTGATGAGACCAATTGGTGTAGTCGAAGAAGAATCCCCAAACATGAGCGAAGAAGTGTTAGTCTCCATGTTTTTAATACCTAGGCTCTTCACCATCTCTAATGAGATCACATTCACACTTGCACCAGAATCAACAAGAACATCATCAAGTGTGAATTCACCAAGAGAACAAGGTGGATCAATCAATGATGTAGAGATGTCCAGAAGCTCTGCCACTTCTTCTTTGTGAGATAGAATGTTCTTGATGAACATCATTTGGACATAGGCCTTTTGCATGTTCTTGAGCTCTGGAAGTTTAACTCCAACATCACTCAAGTCTTTTCTAAACTTGGAGATCACCTTCTTTTGAGCGTTAGTGATAAGTCTTTTTGGAAATGGGAGCTTATCATAAGGTGATTGCTAAACCTCATGGGTTTCTTCTATTTTAACCTCTTTCAACTTCTGGACAGCTTTTCTATCAACCGGTTTCTCGGCATTGAGTCTAACTGGTTGCACAACCTTTTCCATAACCTTCTCTACAGCTTGTATCTCAACCCTTTGCACAACGTTGTGGTCAACATTCTCTACTATCTGTGCTTCCGTTTTGGCAACGATCCTTGTCCCATACATGAGCCTTTCAATCTTTTCCACATCTTTCTCATGGTCACTCAATTCTATCCCAAAGATATCAGAAGAGAGGATAACATTGCAATGATCTTTGGAGGTCCCTTGTGAAGATCTCATTGGTCGCTTGGAGGTTGAAGTCATAGAAGCAAACTAAGACTCCAAGGCTTTGAACTTGTTGTTGAGCTCATTGTAGCTTCCATCAACTTTGGTGTGGAGATTCTTCAGCTCATATCCAATGTGCTTCTCACTTCTAGTTTGAAACTCCAAAATCTGTTTCAACATCACACCAGTGCTACTTTCCTGTTGAGATGAAGTAGAAGATCCAGCCTGGTTTTGCGTAGACAAGTTCTCTTTGGAGGAATAGCCTTGAGAGTAGTTTTGTTTTGCTTGATAACCACCTTGTTGGTTTTTTGAGTAAGGTCTTTGCTGCTAGTTGTTGTACTGAAAGTTAGGCTCTTTCTTGTACCATGTTCCATTAGCATTCACAAAGCACAGCTCTTCTTGACCTTCCAGACCATCAACTTCATTAACCACAACAATCCCTTCTTGTTTCTGCTCACCAACAAATTTCACCTTCTCTTGTTGAGCTCTATCTGAGAGGAGCTTATCTATCTTGTTTTGTAGAGTCTTCAACTCTTTCCTTATGCTTTGATCATCTCCTACACTTTCTCTCATGTTCATATCATGCTCATCATTGTAGAATGAATCACTCTTAGCCATATTCTCTACAAGCTCCAAAGCATCTGCTTCAGTTCTCCCCAAGAAGAAATCATTGCTAGCAGTGTCAAGCTGGCCTCTATACTTGGGAAAAGCACCTCTGTAGAAAGTACTAAGCAAACTCTCCATATTGAAGCCATGATGAGGACACTGAGATATGTAGTTGTTAAACATTTTCCATGCTTCTTCAAAGCCTTCAAGATTCTTTTGATGAAAACCAAAATCTCCTTCTTAAGCTTGACTGTTCTTGAGGTATAGAAGAACTTGGTGAGGAAAGCTTTCTTGCACTCATCCCATATATTGATTGAGTCTCTTGAAAGACTCTTCTTCCATGTGTGAGCCTTGTCTCTCAAAGAGAATGGAAACAACCTTAGCTTGACTGCATCTTCAGAAACACCATTGATCTTTGTTGTTCCACACAGCTTATCAAAGTTTTCCAACTGGTCACATGGATCTTCTAAAGCGAGGCCGTGTACGTATTTCCCTGGATCATGTTGATAATGGTGGACTTGACTTCAAAGTTATTGTTATCCACTGCAGGTGCTCTTATATGAGCTCTATGCCCATGGATGTTTGGCTGATCATGGGTGTCTTAGCTCTGGCTTGGCGTTGTAGGTGATGTGGTTGAAGGTTAGAGCTTGACCATCACCCTTTCCATCTTGAGGCTGATTCTGATGTTGATCCATCACAAAGCCCAATCTGTCTAAGTGAGTCTGATGCTCTTCTTGTCTTCTTTTTCTTACTATTTCCTTTTCAAGTGCTCCAATATCTTCAACTCTTGGAGTTAGGTTTTTTGAGCTTCTGCTCCGCAAGTTCATACACCTGAGATTTAAAAGGAGAGGAAGAAGGAGTATTAGTAACTAGATAAAAGAAAAACAAATATAGTCTCAAGAAATGACAAAATCTCAATGTCAAAATCAACTTAGAATTGGCAACGACACCAAATTTGATAAGGAATTAAGTCAAACTAGTGTAGTATTTTAGATTGTCAATCCAATCCTAAGTTGTTTTAAGGATTGAGAATGCAAGTCATGAACTCAAGCTAAATGCAATCAAAGTTGTTTTGTGAATGAGTAACAAGTGACAAAAGCAAATAATAAAGATAACTAAAGCTTTCAATCAAGTAGTAAAGATAGATCCACGGGTAAAGATGATTGATATAGGATGATCAAGCTTCAATTCTAGGATGTTCAAGCAACACAATCAACAAATTTATAAATCTAGAGCTCATACAAGTAGATTAATCCATTATCATGATAATAATCCCTTTGTTATCAAGTACTAAGCATCAATGTCTTTAGCCTAATACTATCAAACAGCCAATAAGTTTAAGTCTATTAACCATCTAGCAGTTTAGGCATCAAATGTCATTGGCTTAATCAAGCTAGATCAATACTAAGTTCAAGTCAAGCATTTTAACAAATACCTTGTGGGAATGAAAAAACTTAGGTTCTAAATCAACACTTGATCAAGGCTAATCTAGCTTTAAGATCACTTAGCAAGCATAGATCTATCTTAATCTAACAAGAAACATTTTAAATATCCACTTAATCACCCTAATCCATCTAACCCATGAATCACAAAGTAGTCTACTCACTAATCACCATGTTTAACCTTAAACTCATGATAGATTCAAGAATAATCATGATAAGAAGATGCGATAGACGCAAATTACTCAATGAAAGAAAGATTAGATTACTAAAGATTCAAATTTTCCTCAAAGTAGGTTTTTGTTTTGAGAGAACACAAGATAAGTCCTAATTTTAGGTCTACAAAGTATTAATAATGGCTTAAACATGAGATGGGTTAGCCCAACAAACATGGGTCAATCCATAAAAAGGGTAAAATCTGCTTCAGCTAACGGCCGCGGCCACCTCCAAGCCATGGTGAACACCCGCGGTGGTCTTCCAAATCCCGCGCCCTCCATCTGTCGTGGTGACAGCCGGTATGATTCTCTGCTTCGTTTGATGAAGAACGGCCGCGACCTCCTTTTGCCCGCGATGGTATCCCGTGAGATTTCTATCTGAATGTGTCATGTGCTGCCACGACCATCCTTCAGCTGCGGTTGTTGCCCGTGGGATTCTCTGCTCATGTGCAACATTCTTCCCTCCTTTGAACGTTTTACAACTCATTTGGCTCCAAAACCTGATTAACACTTCTCCAAACCTAAAAATACACAAATGTAATGCAATACAACCTAAATAAACCTAAATGTTAGTCTAAATGATCAATATATACAAAAAAAATGATGGTTAAGATCATGCAAATATACAAGATATCATTGGCGGTTTTTTTTTTTTTTTTTTGCTGATTTTTTTGTTGATTAATATGGGAGTTTCAGACATATGAAAGGGCACAAACTAATCTTCAAGGAGAGCTGCAGCTCACGGATAGACCATTTTTCTGAGTATGCAGAAGAGCCTGAAAACATAGGTCAATATCCGATTAAGTGTCTATAAACAGTGTGACTTAGTTTTGTGCAGCATGTCGATCAAACCTAAAATGCGTTAATATGTTTTTAACTGATTTTATTTCTCTTTAGTTTTTAGTTTTTAATTTTTAGTTTTTACCATCAACTCAACTTATCTATGTCTCAGGTTCACGGTTCAACCCGATTCGACCACCGGTCCGGTTTGGTTTAAAATACATCGGTTAGGAGATTTCATTCTTTGAATTAAGTTTGATTAGATTGTTTTCATAGGGTAAATAGTCATATGCTCATGAGTAGCTTTAGTCTATAGTAAAGATAAGATGATGTAATCAAAGATTGATTGGTAGATGCTATAGAAGCGGTGGACTGTCACTTTTATTTTTACATCCTTCTTTTTAAACATTCATCCTTGCTTTTTAAATTTGAATCCAAAGCCAAAACTTTATAAAAAGAAATACTTTAGCTTTGGAAATCTTTTTTTACAATTTTTATTCAGTATTTTGTAAAGAATCCTTCAGCAAAAAAAAAAACTAAAGTAAAACGAAAAATTTAAAACCTAGATTTAAGAGCAAAAAACATAAAGGTATAGTTCTAACCAATCAAACCCAAGATTTTGGTTAATAAAAAGCAAACAGAAAATTTGGGTTTCCATGAAATATTTGGGCTTTATTTCCGATTTATCCAAATATAAAATCGAATATTTGGTCAAAAACCTCATCTCTCATCACCCACCCAATCACTTTGTTCCAAAACGCCAAAAAGCATTACACAACAGCAGCAGCCATGGCTGCCCACACACTCCTCTCCTTCTCATCGCCTTCTCGCCTCCTCATTTCTCCTTCATCAATTCCCAATCCACCACTCGTTTCCTCTTTCCGCGGCGTCTCTCTCAACCTCCACCGTCCCCAATCACTTTCCTTCTCCGCCTCGAAGAAGTCGCTAACAGTCGTTTCGGCCGCGAAGAAAGCTGTTGCGGTCCTAAAGGGTAACTCCGATGTCGAAGGAGTTGTTACTCTCACCCAAGAAGACACAGGTCCCCTTCTTCCCCTCTCTCTCTCTCTCAATGTCTGAATCTTGTTATCACTGTTTAGTTCTGTATAAAACTGAAGAAGATGTGTTGCTAGAAACAGATTAGCTTTATAATGTTAATTAGTATATAAAAATTAATAATTCTTGTGTTATTAAACATGTTCCTAATGCATTTACTAAGATTAGTGTTGATACAATATATGTGTTAATAATGTGGATGGGAGCAGGTCCTACAACAGTGAATGTTCGTATCACTGGTCTCACTCCAGGGCCTCATGGCTTTCACCTTGTAAGTGTTCTTTTACTTGGTTCTTCACTGTTAGAATCTGTTAAGAGTTACTTACTGTGGTGTTTTCTTTAATAACAGCATGAGTTTGGTGATACAACAAATGGATGCATCTCAACAGGTTCATTTACCAATACAACTAATTGTTATTCATATGGATAATCATGATTTGTCTTTTAAAAACGATGTTTTTTTGTGTATAGGACCACATTTCAACCCTAACAACATGACACACGGAGCTCCTGAAGACGAGATCCGTCATGCGGGTGACCTGGGAAACATTCTTGCCAATGCCGATGGTATTACACTTTTTTACCAAATACTAGTTTTTAATTGGCTTCCATCTTTGATTCTTTAAGACTGTTTTTGTGGGTAACAACAGGCGTGGCAGAAACAACACTTGTGGACAATCAGATTCCTCTGACCGGTCCTAACTCTGTTGTTGGAAGAGCCTTTGTGGTTCACGAGCTTAAGGACGACCTCGGAAAGGGTATACTTCTTGAATCATAAATTCATTTGACTTGCTAGTGAAAATGATGGTACTTTCTAAGCTTATAAAAGTTTCTTAAGCAAAGCTGTGATCTGACTACTTCTTCTTTTGATTTTTGGGCAAATGTAGGTGGGCATGAGCTTAGTCTGACCACTGGTAACGCAGGCGGGAGATTGGCATGCGGTATGTATATAATATAGTTTGAATGCAAATTTGGATTCTGTGTTTCGGTAACCTCACAGCTACGTCGGTTCTATTGCAGGTGTGGTTGGTTTGACGCCACTCTAAGTCTGGGTTAAGTGAAGTACTCTACTGTCTACTGTGTTGGTCTTGTCTGTTCGATAAAATTTTAAATAATGGTTGGCTTGAATAAACTTTTGATGTTTATGTTCATGGCATCAATAACTCTCTTTGGATCTGTACTTTTGTGAAACTGGTTGTTACTTTTGGATCAAATCTGCATTCCATCGTGTTATAAAACACTGTTTTTTTTTGGGTCTAAAAAAACATTGTTTTGTTATAACGTCCTTTTTATCAAGTTAACTATTCATGCTTTTATTTTGTGTTTAGGTAAGGAGGTGAAGTGACTTTAAGAGAGTTTTTAAGAAATTGATAATAAGCATATTTTTCTTAAACAAGTTTATAAACCAAAACTGAATTTCCACGCAAAACAAATTTGAACATCTCTATCTAAGGAGGTGTTATTGGTTTATGTATTTTAATGGATTTTAAAATCTAAGACAAATTGGTTCTTTGATTCTAAAACCCATATGAAAAAATAGTGTTATTGGTTCTATGAATTTAAAATAGATTTTGAAATCTAGTGTTATTCAAAAGCATATATTTATTTAAGGATTTGACTTGAAATTAGATTTGAGTGGATTTGTAAATGTTTTTATAATAAAAACACAAGGGAACAAATACTGAGTTTAACCTTGATATTTTGATTAGATTTTAATAGTGTTTTACGTTAGGGCAAATTAGATATTAGTGCCGCTTTGATTTTTTAGTCTCCACAACAAACACGTACATGATACATTACATTGTCTACTTGTCAATATCTCAAATCTTGTTTGTATGGAAAATATCTCATATTGTAGTCATCTCTGGGTAACAAATAGTCACTGGCCGAATTTCACAAAAAAATTTAGCTTTGGACCCTCCTAAGTCATAACTATTACCTTGCCACCTTCTCACACTAACCATTTGGACCCTCCTAACTATTATCTTGTCACCTTCTCACACTAACCATTGAACAATTTTTCCATACCCATGCATTTTCTGGCATGAACTTGTACGGTCATTGCTTCTTTATAAATCCATTTGATTAATTTTTAACAATTCACCTATTTTGATTTGAGAATACATACATAGTATTCTTAAATCCACTTGTTTGATTTCAAAATCATGGATTTATAAAAGATTTCCAAAATTTGTAAATCCATGATAATATTAAAACCAATAATCCCTACTAAGTTTAGGCATATTACTTGGTACCGAATAATTATAAATATCTACAGCAAAATCTTAGAACTTTTTTCAAGCTGTGAGAAATAGAAAGAGAGAAAATGGAAAATCTAAGAAAAAGAGAACACGTAGAAAGCTGGCGATGATCAAACGGATGTTTGTAATTTTCGTTTTTAAAAAATGTTATTGTTGTCACATGTATAATAACTGATGCCACAGTTGTCAACTAAATTAGATTCAGTGTTGCTGGGAGATATTTCACAATATATATGAATATATACAAACATATAGTTAAAATGATAAATATTGAATAATTAATAAAGATGTGTAGTAAAGGAATCAAGTTCAGCTTACCCACTTGGTTAGTCCAATCTGTTGTATTCGTTTCCCCAACGTCTCTCTGTTACTTCAACTACTTAATTAATATATGACCACTTCCTATATTAGTGATACGTTGGCGTTCTCAAAATTTTCCGTCAACTTGTAAATTCTATATTTCATTATTTTTGACATATTTTAAGACAATCTCATCGAACGTGACCTATTTATTTTTGACACATTTTAAGATAATTTCATTCAAAGTGCCTATAGAAATTTGACTTACTTCGAGACTTACTGATAACAAAATTATTGGAATCTACAAACCTATCATCCTATGTTTTTTTCTTAGGGAGGATGATATTTCTGACACAAATGAAGCGACTTCTTCTTATGGTTCTGATCTATTCATTTATGGTGCTTAATTTTCCAAATTGAACATATAAAATTCTGGCGCTAATACACGAATATGGACCTATGATTATGATTCATCTGCATACCTAGAATGATGGTTTATCTATGATATGCACTTCTGTTTAGAAATTAATTTGGATCCTTTCATAGATTTAGAATATCCCCAGATTAATCCAAAAGATAAAAATTTCTTGCACTCTTTTCACAAATCCTAAAACACAGAAAATAAAAGTGTACAACCATCTAGGAGTTAACTATAGCTACAAAATAAAACCAAGCAAATCACGTTAAAGAAGGGATACTAGGTTCACTAATTATAAAATTGAAATTAACCACATAAATATAAAAGTTGGCTACAGTATACTGTATAAACTGAAATATTTTCGATGATGTGGTTTTTATAAAATAAAATTTAGTTAGTTATTTATTAAAAAATTTATACATAATAGAATTAAGGGATATAGTATATATTCTATTAATAACAGATAATATCTTTATTTTATATACAATTTCTTTACACGCCCTCAAAAGAGTGGTGTATATATGATACCATTCTGTTGCATAATGTTTGAAATCGCGCTTGTGTCAATGGTCTGGTAAGCCACCATCAAGTTGGTCATATGTTGCTACATGGACAACATGGAGCGTGCCCTGTTAGATTTACCTTCATAAAAAGTGATAGTCGATGATGTCTTCAGGTCCATTACCAGCTTCTTCGACATGTTTCTACCTGTTGTCTAGAACACGAGTCTTTTCCCTGTGGCTTTTTATCATTAGAAGTAGTGGCACAGTTCTCTTAGCTCGATTATGGGTCAAACCTCTAGTTTTTTTATTTCTTCCTTCTTATCTATGTTTTAAGTTTTTCAAGTATTCAATCTCTTTGTATCTTGTCGACTTCTGTTTTAGAAAGATTTCGATCCTTGCCGGCTTTTTGGCTCCGGATGGACTGTAGTCCTTCTTGGCTTATGTGAAATTTCAAGTTTATTAGTATCAATATAGTCCAGATGATGGCAAAAAATATTGACATTTTGGTCTTTATACTATTTAATGAATTGTATTTATCTTTATACACTATTTTGAGACAAAAAAATTTTTAGTGATATTTGAGAATGTTTCTCTATTATATATTTACTTTGGTTCACTTATTTATTTCTGTTATTATATTTTTTTAAAAAAACTTAAATCGTTGTATATATGTTTATTTACATTTTAATGTTTTAAAAGACATAAAATTCTTCAAATATCAATTTAATGAATAAAAGATAGTATTCTTCCCTCTTTAGATAACATGTTATATTTTATTCTACATACAAAAAGATGATGAGGCTTAAGAGAAAATAAATGTATGTCTATTATTTTAGTCAAACAATAAAAACGGTTATTCATTTAATTTTCTGTATTCTTGATTTTAATTTGGTTTTTGGTTAGTCCACAAATTCACCTATTATTTAAGTTTATTTATATATATCATTATTCGTTTTTGTGAAGAAAATATGAGAAGAAAACCAAAGCTGCAGCGATACATTACACTGACCTTGCTTTAGCTGGCAATGTCTCATTTTTGTTTTTTTTTAACTAATCTCTGTTTTTTTTTTTTGGGTTCTTGGCAATATCCGCTTGGATCACCAAACTGTGGATCACAAAATCATAATCAGACTTCACAGCTCTTGATAAAAGTACTTACAAAATGGTTAGCTTACTGGCGCAACCAAAAAAAACTTAGTAGGATCGACATAGTTCTAGCTAATTTTGACAGCTACGTGATATATGTATAGTGCACACTTGACAATGCACACACTCATATGTAGTTTATGCTAACACCCAACACTCAACAAGTAGACATAGAGCCATAATTTATGCTTGGATTTTAGTTGTATTACATTATCATCTTTATCTATCTTTATATATCTTTTAAGTTATGCATATCTCTTTCTGTTATTTATATTAGGTATCAAGGATATAAATACATATAAATATTAGGTTCTGATTATGATGTGTTTCTTATCTTTCAAGGAGTACAAAATTGATTGATGGCAAAGTAACTATTTTACTGTTTCAGTTATATTAAAAGAATAATTTTAAGGGAGAAAAACTAGAATGACTCAAATTAATGGTGTTATTACTAGAATGACTCATAATTTTTTCAGATTTATTAGAATGTTTTTTTGGTCAAAATTGTCCTTGGCTATAGTTATACAAAAAAACAAATTTAATTTTCTTAGGTCGTCGGCAGATTTATTTAAATCTATCGCACGACAGAATTTTTAAATATGTCTATCGG